ATTTCAGCATGTCCAAATGTAACAATACATAGGGAAAGAATGTTTAAATGCGATTTCTAACAGCTATTACCTTCCTATACAACTAAATAGATTTCAATATGATTAAAAGTAAAGTGATGGCATTTAATTAATTTTTGCTGAATTTCTTTGAAAGTTATCTAACGTCACAAAATTTTATGTAACTATGCATCGGAAAAGAATGCTTTCAAGCTTTTATTACATTTCTAAATAATTTTGAAGGTTTCTATTTACTAAAGTATATTACATAAATATGATATATATTTAACAAAAAATAATGCCTGAGAAAATTCCTTTTTAAAAATGAAAATTAAAAATATAACCTTATGTGAATTCACTTAACATTAATGTCATTTAACCTCACCTTACTTGCATGATTGAAAAACATTATTTATAAATTATGGTTAATGAGAAATCAGTCTTGAAAAATACTAGGAGCTATCAGCATTATTGTTGTGATCGAAATTTAATTAAATAATATCTAAGTGACAAGTTTTAACAAATGATGCAATATGAAACTGCTGTTCGAAAAAATTGAAAAACAGGTATATAACTATTAAATAATATACTTAAAAAACGGGGCCAACACTACCAGAATATGAATAATTCACCATGTTTCTGGCTCTATGGGAACATTAAAAATCTCAGTTATCATTACAAAGCGCTTTGGTAATGATTTTGGTAAAATTAACATAAGATATGGTTTTATATTTTGAGATAAAAATAGGTAAATGCCATAAAATTTTGTAATTTTATCATGATACTTTAGACAATTGCATAAAAACTATTGATTCGGTTAAATTAACTTCTTAGTTTTGTATTTTTTCTAAATGAGTGGTAATAAGAACTGCAATTTTGAAAACCAGAACTTTTGTTGAGCAGAACCATATGAACTGAAAAACTATTAAATAAATAATTTGAATACTATATATTTTGGTTTTATTTCCCAGAATTATGAATCATTTTACCAGAAATGTTATTACCAGAAAGTACGGTAGTTTTTCCAGAGTTGTTTTCTCGGAAGGCTGGAAGAAATGGCATAAATTCTAAAAATGGTTAAGAAGTTGTAGGTTTTAATTTCAGGAATTACCATTTTATTTAATCTATTAAGACGGAGTACAGAGAAATGAAATGCTGCATGACCACAAAAAATTTCTCACACTAATGGTTTAAAACACTTTTTCTCAAATGATTTTAAAATTTTTTGTCTGTCATAAGAATTTTTAAAATTATAATCTATACATTTTAAATGTTGTACGCGAATTTTATAGCCTCTTAAAGATGGTTTCTTTCCCATACTAGTAATGTAAAAAATCCAGTACTTTCCCATGATATTCATTGAGTAAATGGAGCACAAAAGAAATGCTACCATTGCCTGGAGTTTTCCCGGAGACTTACAGTTAGAGCAAAGGAAACGAATCGAATATTTTATGGAGTTTATCCTTAAGCCTTGAAAAAAGTGTTGTTCTCTAAGTTTTCTTTCAGTGTTAAGCCTATTTCATGCTTGAATTATCCAACTTTGGATATATCTTTCTTGACTGTTTCTTCTTCCAATGTAATTTTGAAAAAAGTACAGAGATATTCGGATATTTTTAAAATTTTAGATGCATACTTGCTTCAATAAAATGGGATGAAACAATTTTAATAGAATAATTCATTTTTAAAAGTTTGCTTAAAATGCTCCTGATATACAAAATTGTATTCATATCCTTCTGTATAAAATCTAAAGTTAAGTGTTAGAGAATGCAATATATGCATTCGTATGCAATGCCAAACTCGCACTAATTTTGAAGATTAAACAAACATATTACAATGTGTTTCAACTTAAAACGAATTTATACACACACATATATATATATATATTTAAAGTAGTAGTAACAATAGTGTTACAAGTGCGAAAAGTCAAGTCTGTCATACCATAATTGAATCTTTCTACAAAATTATTTTTAAACAAAATTAATCTTATACTTTTAATTATTCCTATACTTCTTAGAGGGGGCCGGGATAGCCTGGTCGGTAGGGCGCTGGGCCCATATCCAAGAGGTCGTGGGTTCGATCCTCGCCGGCCGAAGACTCCCCGTGTAGTAAATGGTGACTGATGCACGTTAAATCTGTCGAATCTCAAAGTCCTCCATGTTCCCACAACAAATAAATACCTCTGGGGGTACTGATCCAGGAGTTTCCTTGTCTTCTGGATTGGTTCAAAATGACAAGGCTACGGAGTTGAACGTAAGTAGTCGTAAACCCATGAAATTGGGTCGGCTGTTCAACGTCGGTTATAAAATAAAATAAAATACTTCTTAGAAAAAAAAATTCCTTTGTATTGCTGAAAATTTCTAAACAAACAGTTTCAAAAAAAGAACCACAATTCTCTGAATCATCTGTTAAATATGATTAAATGGTTGATATACATGGTAACAATGCTTCAGTTTGGTTGCAATTACAGAGAAAACATGCATTCTTCTTCTAAATAAAATATTTTTTGCTGGGACGAAATTGTATTTTTGATCCTCGAAATGATGGTATTTGTTACAGCTCAAAAAGTAGGATCCAAACAAAAGAAATCAAGATTTAGGTCATTTTAATTGTCAAATCAAACCTGAGAATACACTGAGAAATCGAATTTTTAATATACGAAAAGTTCGAAATCCGATCAACTATTTAACCAGTTTCGTACTAGTTTTGTATTTTGCCTAATAAATAAATTGCATCCTTTTAAATGGCGTAAAACTTGTATACCGTTCTATACAAATGTTTTCGACTTTCATTAATTAATACAATAAAAGATAATGAATATAAATTAAGAATCATTTTTTATATGGAACTATTTTTGGATAAACAAAATTTATAACAGTGATCAAATTTTTTTGGAATCGTTTAAAAGGTTTTCAAGCTTTGGCGAAGCACGCAAAAAGAAGAATTAGCGTTAAGAAGTTTAAAAATTTAGACCACTCTTTTGACTGAATTACTGGGACCATATTTCACAGATTCTTCCTCATATGTTGAGGGTAAGGAATCCAACTTCCTCGAAAAACTGATAGGTTTAATTTGAAAAAAATACTTGCTTGTGTCTGATTTCATAGCTTAAAATATCGTCTGCACTAATTAATTTGTATATTTGAGATCCCCCTCAAAAACCATTAAAATTTAGTTATAGAACGTGAAGATTCGATCACTAGATCAAAAGTTATTCATGTTGTTCGATTTATTTAGTTATGTACACTACATACACCAAAGATCTTAAAACATTATAAATCGTTCGAAAAAAACTGGATAATTACGCCCTTAATCTCATGATATTTATAAAAAATATTATGATAAAAAATGTTACAAGTGACTGAGGTTTCTCCATATTTTGTAAGATAGAGATTCAAATCAGTCGATCAAAAGGTATATTTGTCCAAAAAAAATCACCTTCATGACAAATTTGGAAATTTAACTAACAGTTTTCATTAGTTGATTAGATTAGCCTACTTATGGTTAGCCCTAAAACCAGTAATATTTCATCAAGTAAAAGTTTTTAACTCCATTTTTTTGGTCGCAACATACGTAGTTATTCATCGCACTGATTGGATATATTGTCTTTAATTTCATTTTTATGAAGGTTATGAGAATATTCCTCTAACAGGACAACAAATTAAAACACTGCTTCAAATCAGCTTTTAAAATTACCGTAACCGTTCTACAAATGTTCTGTGCTGCGTCTGGTGCTCATATGTAATCAAATGCCAATAAATTTAGACTGCAGTTTTTATTAATATTAATTAATAATATTTACATACATTATTAATATTCAATAACATTAAAAGACATTATAAGTATTAATTATTAAGATTAAAACACATTATTGAGATTAATTAATACTTTTATTATTTATATTTATATTGATTAATAAAAATTGATCTATTAATACTGATTAATATTGATTAATAAAAAACAAAAATATTATCTGATCCATTCACTCAATGTTTTTTTTGAAAATTAGATGACTGTAACGAATAGATATAATTAGTTAAGTTCCATAATGATTTATTCAGAAAAGTATTATCTAAAAATATATTAAAAATTATTGGAGAAAATCGAGTTGATAATTCTTTTTTTAAACTTTTTTTCAAAAATGAAATTATTGTATTTGAAACCTCCGTTTACTGGTCTAACTTTTCAAATTTATTATCCACATTTTAGTTTAAGTTATTAAAACTTACAACAAGATAAAGCATGAGAATAAAGTAGCTGAACCGGTATAGTTCTTAAGAAATCACGTCGACTAAATATTCTATTTGTTTATTTACTAATTATGAATATTTATAATCAGATACAACTTTATTTGCATGAATGGGATTTTCATTCGTATGAAAAGCTGAATTTTCATGCGTAATAGAATTATTTTACGGCATAAAGCAAAGTATATAATTTAAGAAGCAAGCACACTTCAGTGTAATATATTCAATCTAATTTTTTCAAACAATTGCTATTTTGTATATTTTATTGCACAATAACAACACTGTTAGAAATTTCATTTGAAAATCACGGTAAAATAACCGGCAGCTATCCGTCCATCCAATTAACCGTAAAGTTTACGGTAAAGAACATTTTTTACCTTCACGCAGTTGAAACCGTTTACAACTACTATGGTTGAAAAAACATAAATACGAACTATACCGGTTCTTTTAACCATTTACAACTAGCATGGCTTAATAACCGTAAAAGAAGAAGTTTAACTGGACATTGGAGATAGTTTAGAAGCCTTATAGTGCTGCCATCTATCAGGGAAGGAGAATATCGTATTCTATTAGCCCAGGTATATTAATCGTGTATATTAATAAACTGTTTCTGTTCCGTTGAATATGGTAGAATAACAATTCAATAAATTATTGTTTGGACATTTTTCCAAGAAATTTCTAACAGTGTAACTGTTGGATATGGAAAAACTTTTTTATTACAATAGACAAATGAATAAAGTATCTCGATTAATTACTCACCTCATGCTTCGCGTACATTAACGTTACTTCATCCCCATCTTCTGTAAAGGAAAAAAAAGAAAATGATTAATTTTGAGTACACCATTTACAATTATAAAAGAAATAATATATTTTTATAAAATCTGTCACTAGTTACTTGTAAACCATATAAACGCTTTTCTTCCTGAATTATTAAACAAATAAGAATAATAGATTGTTACGAAAATATGAATAAATACACATGCTTGTGTTAGGCATCAATGTCTGACTTTCTAAATTCTAAACTGATATGTTTAGGATTACTCGGATATTAGTTCCGGAATTAGGATTACTAGAAGCATGTTTAAGATTACTAGAATATAACAAAATTTGCCATATTTCTAGCTCTATGGAAGCACCAAAAAGATAAGTAATTATTACTGAAACAATTTGGCAATGATTTTGGTAAAATTAATTATAAAATATGGCTGCATAATATGTGATAAAATTTGGTAAATTCTTCATGATACCATGGAGCATGGCATAAAACAATTTATTTGGTTAAATTTACTCTTCAATTTTGTATATTTTACTAAATGTGTGATAATAAGAGCTATAATTTCGAAAAACAGAATTTATGGTAAACCGGAACCGTAACAAATAGAAACCGTTACCATATAAACGTTTAAAATATCGCATATTTTGGTTTCATTACCAGAATAATGTTTTTTTTTCTTTTTCTTTCAAAAGCGTCTTTACCAGAAAGTATAGTTATTTAACCATAATTTTTTCTCTGTGTATTATCATATTACTACAAAAATCAAGCAGTTATCTTTAAGTTTAGGAATATATATCATTTTACAATTAATAACACAAAACTAAAATAGTAATCTTTATCAACACCAACATAAACGAAATTTTATTTTTGAAAATTAATTATCGTTTCTAATGTATGAATTTAATTTAGCGCAATATTTATATACTAATAATAGTTAATTCTTATATATTTTGTGGAGGATCGTTGTTTTATTGGTGAGTTTCTTAGCTATTCCTATTATAATTGAGAAGAAACCATTGCAATTAAACTCATCCTCAAACGGAAACTCATTTTCAACACTTTCGCTTCTTAGTTTTTCTACTTTCATTTATTTTTTCGCAAAGAAACACTTTAGTGCTTCCTTTTGAAAAGAAAATTTTTTCGAACACACTGGTGATAGATATTTGTAAAATTTTTATATTTTATTTGATTATTATCCATCCATCTTGATTATTATCCATCCATCCATATATATATATATATATATATACTGTCTATATTATATCTATAATAATGTAT